ATATTGAGTTTGAATTTTTTGATTAAAAAAACATACGTTAAGAGAGTTTTTAAATAAAATTTGATGTGATTTAATTTTAAATTAATTAAAATTTAATGTAATTATTGAATATTAAAAAAAAAAATAATAATAATAATAGGAAGAGGAAGAAGAAGAAGACAAGGGTGGTGAGGGTTACAACTCGTACTTGACATTTTGCACTGTGATCAATCAGTGTTTCGCTTCAACAACAGTCTTCCCTTCATTTAATTAAGCCCACCAACAAATCTGACCATTCATCAGATTGTTTCAAAGTTTTAGAACTGCGTAGCTACTAGCTGCCGCCGATGTGGATCCAACGTCCAATCTTCATCTCTCTCTCTCTCTCTCTCATCCAGTGGGATTGCACTGATCGTTCACGTGGGCCTGATCTACACCTCACCTACCCTCCATCGCCGGCACATCTCCGCCCACAACTCCCTGCTGCCACGTGCCCATCATTTCCCCCTCCGAAATTTAGTAACGGCCTTTCAATAACCCACGTGTCTTATCTTTACTCTACCCAATTACATCACGCCACGTTTTCACCTGACCAGAACCACTGAAGCTCTGAGCCTGAACCCTTCGCGCCTGGATCGGGTCCGGTCAGCGACGTGCACCTTACGTTGTCTTTTTGGGACTCCAACTTCAAAATCGATGGACACGTAACGTGCTTTTGCCTGCGCGCGTGCAGTTTTCAAATTGTCACTAATTTTCTTTCTTAGAGTATTTGTTTTAGGACTAATGACAAATCTAATAAAAATTTAAAATTAAAATTTGAGATTATATTATATTATTTAAATTATTAAAAAATTAAATTTATACTGTTTAATAATTAATTTTATTATATTTTAAATTTTGTAATATTATTTTTATATATCAATTAATTTAATAATATAATATATATTACATTATTAATTTTAAATTTTTATCTTCTTCATCATTACTCTTATTTTAAAAGGTAGGTTATGCAACATGGTATAATCTAAATAATAATTAAATGAAAAGTGAGATTCTTAATAATAGGTCTTTTTTAAAATGAATTTTATTTTATAATTTAATATAATTTAAATTATAAATTTGAGAATCATTTTATTTATTTATTTATTGATTTTACTTTACTCTAACTCTTTGCTCATTTAAGTAATTAAGAAGGCATTAGCTTTTACATCAAACAAAAAAAAACACAACACACTGGTAATTTCCCTTTTCTTTTTTTCTTTTTTTTTGGAAAATAGGTAATGGCACTGGTAATTTGCCTTGAAAGTAAAACAAGAAGAAAACAACACAATATATGAGTAGAAATTAAGAAGAATGCAAGTGGAAGAATGCAAGTGGAAGTAATTAACTTGGACAACAAATGCCCCAACAGAAAGGTGAAAAAGACACAGGAGGAGGTAGCGAGTGTCGGAGCAGTGGGCAGATGGTGTGGTTAAAGCGAGTAGGGTCAATAAATGCGATGCTTCCCCACCACTTTTTGCCTATTCCTTACACTCTGAACCACAGTACGGACGAATTAATATTTGTAACAAATAAATTTTTGTCAGCAGTACTTGTGATAACTTTGGGTGCGTAAGACACAGAGATTTCTTTTTTTTTTTTTAATAAGTTTAGAATTTTAAATTCAATTTTCACTGCATGTGGCTATAGCAAGAAAAGAAACATTTTTTAAATTAAGAGAGGAGATTTAAAACTTGTACCCTTGAATTGCATTAGATTCTCTTTTGTTTCAATTGGCTGGTCAAAGAATAAGAGACTATTACTTATTATTATTCTGTTTAAAAGACAAAAACAATGATTTTGATCACACTACAAACATCACAAGGTTCAATATAACAGAGATTCTTACAATCATCATAAGGTTCAATATAAAAGAGATATATATTTTTTTTGTTTTTTCTTAATTTCGTGATTTTTTCTTTTTACAATATTAATGATTAAAAAGTTAGTGTGAGTTAATTGTTAGTAATCGATCCTTAGGTTGGATGAACATTTCACCCCATCAAATGAGACACGTAGCCATCAGATCACTTTTTGGTGGAGTTCACGACGGTGGTAGAGTTTAAAACTCCGACCATTTTACTTAACCACTTAAGGTTTGAGGTCGAATCATTGAACCACAAAACTCGGTTCCTTAATTTCATGGTTGGCTATTATAAATTTATTTCATTAAACAATATAAAATTTTTATATATTCCAACAAATGAAATTGAAAGAATAATAAACTTACTAAAATTAAACTTAAAAAGGGAGAAAACTAGCTCATCTGCTCCACCAAAAAATTGAAAATGCTAGTGTGAAATAAGAAAAAGATTTTAAACATGCTTTGTGCAAGAGTTCTTTTTGGTTCAAGAAATTAAACATGTTAATTAGTATTGAACCATAGATAAAGATTTTTAAATAAAAGAATAATATCTAATGTTAAAAACCTGTCCATGTGCCGGATTGCATTAAACATTTCTGATTTTGCAATAGCTTTGTTGTCTTCTCTCCCCATATATACCCCCACATGACACCCACATCTTACCCAGTGCAATTTGCAGATCTCTAAACACAACCCTAGATCCTCTCTCCTGCTTCTACACCATATAACTCTCGTTCTCTTGCCTCAACCTCTGTTACCGCGACATGGCCAAGGAGTCATCGGAGCATGGCTCATTCCATGCCAAGGACTACCAAGACCCTCCGCCGGCACCTCTGTTCGACACGGTAGAGCTCTGCAAGTGGTCATTCTACAGGGCTGTCATAGCCGAGTTCGTAGCCACTCTGCTCTTCCTCTACATCACTATCTTGACCGTAATAGGTTACAAGAGTGTGTCAAGCAGCAACGCCTGCACCGGAGTCGGTTATCTCGGAATTGCATGGGCCTTCGGAGGCATGATCTTCGTTCTCGTCTACTGCACTGCCGGCATTTCAGGTAAGTCCCCATCTCCTCAAGAAATCTCCTCAAGAAAGGAGTGGTTTTTTTTTTTTTTGGGGGGGGAGATTGTCGAGTGCTTGGGGTGCTGAACATGTACCCTTTTGTGTGTGCAGGTGGACACATAAACCCGGCCGTGACATTTGGGCTGTTGCTGGCCCGCAAGGTGTCGCTGGGGCGAGCCCTCTTCTACATGGGAGCACAGTGCCTTGGAGCCATCTGCGGAGCGGGGCTTGTCAAGGCTTTCCAACATTCATACTACCACGAGCACGGCGGCGGGGCCAACAGTCTCTCCTCTGGGTACAGCATCGGCACTGGACTCGGCGCTGAGATCATCGGCACCTTCGTCTTGGTCTACACCGTCTTCTCCGCTACTGATCCCAAGAGAAAAGCCCGTGACTCTTTTGTCCCCGTATGCACCTCAACATTATCCCCTTTTCTTGAAAAAAAAAAGGCTATTTCCTAACGTGAATTAGCAAAGAGAAACCGAGTTCCTTCGTTTGTTCTCTTATTTTTTGCCTTGAAGAATTCGACTCTGCTCTTTTAAGCATGCCTAAAAACATGTTATGTTTTGTCTCAACGGCTAACTAATACTGTCTTTTTCCTTAGGTTTAGTACATATTGTGGGAGATTTTCCCATGTTCTTGTCTGGTTTAGTTATGGTTATGAATTTATTGCTTCATTTATTTATGTTTGCTTCATGTTCTTTTAATTTAATTTTTTGAAAGGTTTTGACTCCACTTCCAATTGGGTTTGCTGTTTTCATGGTGCACTTGGCGACCATCCCCATCACCGGCACCGGAATCAACCCTGCTAGGAGCCTTGGAGCTGCCGTTATGTACAACGAGAAGACTGCCTGGGATGATCATGTAAGTGTAATAGTTTCCATTATGTCACCCTATTTCTTTTCTTTTTTTTTTCTAGTTGTTTAAATATTAATTGTTTTGTAATTTTATGTTATCAGTGGATCTTCTGGGTTGGACCTTTTGTTGGTGCAGCCATTGCAGCATTCTACCATCAGTTCATCTTGAGAGCTGGAGCTGTGAAGGCTTTGGGCTCGTTTAGGAGCCAAACCAATGTCTAATTTCCCTAATTATTTCCCCTCTCCATGATTGTATTAGACAATAAATATTTAGGAAAAAGACCCAAAATAATGAGGGAAGTGCTTGTGGTCTGTTGTGGGTTTTGAACCATACATTTTTCAATTTCCCTCATGATGTTTGGTGGGGCGTGGGGGGGAGTTGAAATATGGGGGCTCTTCTTCTCAGGGGGAGGCTTTTATGATCACTTTTCCCATTTCAATTATGCACTTGCCTTTGAATTTACTTCAATTAATGCTGTTTTTCTCTGTAATTATGACTTCTAATTAAAGAAAAAAGGGTTGTTGCTTTAAAGATGTGTCATTATGTTTCTTTTTACTTATTTACTCAGATAAGCACTTAAATGCACATTGATTAAAGGTTCACAGTCAGGAATCATAGTCCTGTCATTTTCTAAAGGTTAAAAGTGTAAAGCATCGAAATGAGAAAGATACATGCCCTCTGGAGCAGGAATTCTAGCTGTTCAATGATTTCATATCTCTAGATGGCATCATGACAACTAAGACATACCAAAAAATTCAATAAAAACATGTCCACTAACCTAAACCCCATTTTCCAAAGGCATGGATCGAACCAAAGGAAAAAAAATGTATGCTTTAGTTCCCATACCACAAGTCATCCCAAGATCCCAACTGTCAAAAGTCCATAAATTTTGAAACCAATAACTTATTACTTGAAATGAATGGAAAAAGGAGTGGAGGAGATGGTGTTGTTTGTAGTTTTATACCACTTTATTATATTTTTGGTGGAGTACAAAACTAAATTAATTGGCATTGAGTAAATTCACAGAAATGGTACATGCAAATCAATAGGATGGGATCTTCACTCTTTTCCTTGCGAAGGAAAATTTTAAACTCGTTAAGCAATATCATTGTAGTTTTTGCCAATAAGATATCTGTTGTTGTGGAAAAGATTGGGTTTAAGTCTCGCTTGATGTGGGTTTTATGCTCGAATGCCTTTTTTGGTTTTATTACTGTGATTTATTGAATTGGATTGTACTCCTATCATACACCATGCGACATTAATGTATCTTTAAAGGTTTAAAAAATTAAATTGAATCCACTAAATTACTTGAAGGGTTGCTTTAACCT